TATTAACACAATAATATAATTTACATACATATGAAGGTTAATGTTTTCAATTTTCTAACCGCAAGCTCACATATTCGAAAACATAAACATAAGAACATTGTTTCTATCTCTCGCTAATAAAATTTATGATCACCAGATGTTTTTATGTCAATGTTTGGGCAATGTGAACATACGTACGATACATGACCAATTTAAAATGTATGTGACTGCATATTTCTGTTCAACAATACTCTCATACGAGTAACAATAGCACACAAACGAGGAACTTGAAGACAGAGCCAGAATATAAAAATACAAAATAATACAAAGAGATTAAGAGCTAGTATACAGGGGATGCTTATAAATTTTGACGCACATGTACAGTCACGTTCGTTCGTGGTATACCAGTTACAAAAAACTTGTCTTGCGCTTGGCAAAGAACTCAATTTTTCCTAATAAAAACAGGCTATTGTTTCAATACTACCTTTTTCACAAAAACACATTTAAGTGTGCTAGTCGCAAGTTTCCATTTGGCACAGTCCTGTCAGTCCTCTCCCTTTCAGATAAATCGACACAAAAAAAACATCCCCAAATTACTACTGGTATACGAAAACTATAACTCAATTGAGTTAAAACCTTTATGATAATATTTGTTTCTATACAATCAAATGTAGGCCACATAGATAAATGTTTCTGTATTATTATCCCAGCCATTTCCTAAGGTTTATAGATTCAACTATGTGTAAACTATTAAAAGTATACTAACATACTACATTTTACGTCTATGTTATCTAATAGAGAGCTATACAAATATTTGAATTAAAACCATCAAGCACAATTCGACAAAATACATTATTAGATTAAAATAATTTATTTAAAAATTAATAAATTTGCCAATTATTTTAATTATTGTTAAGGGATGTATGCAGGGAGCCTGTACAGTGCAAATTTTTACTACAGTATTTTACATTTGATTCAAACAACTAGCTAAAGTGTGTATTTGTTTTGCAATTTAATTATAATTTGTTTTGTAAAAACATATTGCCTATAACTACTTTTTTCACCAAATATAATGTTTTTGCTATTAATCTTTTGCATAAAAATCTTTTGTACTTAATATATTATTATACATATTTTATTCATATGAATATTACTAATTAGAAGTTAACATACAAGAAACTACTCATGAACATCAAGTATGGAACAACATAGTTGTTATCTTTGTACTATAACAGTACCTACTAAAAAATTTAAAATATAATCCTTTTTATTTCTTTCTTAACCATTCTCAATAATGTATCCTCTGTAAAAATGTTCCTGCATAATCCTCTTCTTAGCACCTTAAATATACATTATTTCAACATTGTTACATAATACATATCACATTTAAATTGCACATCCAGAAAATAGTTACAGTTATAAACATATAAAACAAGAACTATTTTATAGATAAATAAATAGTTAGTGATGATAGTAGTTTAATTCACACAGACAATATTTACATAAACATTGTTCACACATACAGTGTTTGCAGTTCTCTGCAAAATGCAGACATCACTATCCACCCGTCCCATTAAAGTACTGAGCATGTTTAGTGTAAGGTGCAGCAATATGATACGGAGGAGGTTGTCCCCTCATGTACATACTCTCCGATACTCCACTTGGGCTATGACGATGGCTCACCACATTCGGGGAATGAGTGGCTGGTCCTGCATCATATAAATCATATGCATTCTGACTCGTTGGAGATTGGACATGACTGAAGCTACCATCATCTGTTACTAATGGAGTGTTTGTCATTCTGTATGGGTTTGTTGCATTTGTGTGGCCTGTAGGCGAGTATAATTCGGGCGATTGAGATGGAATGTAAGTAGGACTTGATGTCATACCATATACATTAGCATTTGGAGTTGTAGACTGATGTAACGGTCCAGAGAAATGATGACTTTCAGCTGTTGGTTGCACATAGACATTGTTATAGTTACTCAAATTTGGCATTGTTGTTGAACTGACTACTTGACTTACTGTATGTACTCTGGGGCCAGGAGGTAAGTCATGGCCTCCATGGCTATGATAACCATAGACATCGTAGTTTCGTTGACCATATATCTTCTCTTTGCTACAGGAATAAGCATCTTGTTCATAGATATTGTTGTGATAATTGCTTGCTGGTATATTGTGGCACATAACATGTTCTTGTCTATGATATGATGGATCAAAAGTCGGTACATTCTCAGCTCTTGAGTTATAAGGACTTTCATTATAATGTGGTGGCAAAATAGTTTCTTCATTTGAATGTCTGTCTTGAGAACTAAGACTAAGCCTTTGAAAATGATTTTGAGTTTCATCTATGTTGCTTCGGTAACTTAAATCATTTGCTTGATGATAACTTTTTAGTTCTAAGTGATCTGCATATGAATTGGATTGCTTACAATTGTTTGATTTTTCAATTTCTTGCTGTTGATATTTATCATGTTTGGTACTGTAATGTCTTTGTGTGTATGGTTCTCCATTTTCAGCTTCATATTCAATATTTGTGGTACCATTGTTTTCAACATATAGTGCATGGTCTACACTTTTATAAGTTTTATCTTGTTCATATGTCAAATCTAATGGTCTGTCATAAGCATTTTCAGGGGGTAGGTTATCATATATTGATGCGGTTTTAAAAGTTTCCTTTATGTTTCCACCATTTTCCATGGTTGAGGTATTATTGCTCTCCTTTTTGTTGTCTGAAGCAAATCTTTGTTGTAAAGTTGGAGTAATTTTTGCTGCTTTTATGTGGACAGCATTTTGCATTGGAGGTGTTATATCTTGTGTTCCATCTTTATGTATATTTCTAGCATGTTTAGCCATTGCTCGCAATTCTTTAGGATAAGGAGTAGGTGCCCTTCGCAGCTGTCCAGGTTTCTCTGGGGCCTTAGCTGTTGCCTTCATATCCACAAAACTAATGTGTCTTGCAGTTGATTGTGACTCTGGGTTTTCGGGTTTTTCATGATCATTCTTTAATTCAATAGGTGTTAAAGGCACTTGTGGGAATAGGAAACAAGTTAATACTTGTTCATAAGTATGAGGATCGACTTCAGAATGCATAGGCACTAAAGGTTTGCTTTGATTTTCTGACAGCCAAAGAGCTACTAAATTATCACAATTTAATAAGGACTGGGGAAGACAACTTAGAGAATTTCTCACTAAATTTAATACTCTTAGAGAGGACAAATGTCCAATTTCTGGAGGGATTTTTGATAATTTATTTGCTCGTAGAGATAACACAGACAACTTTGTACAACTCCCAATTTCCGGAGGGATCGCTTTCAACATATTATCATCAACATTTAAATATTGCAGTTTTCTTAAAAGCCCAATTGATGATGGTATTTTATCTAAGTAATTACACATGAGCATTAATTCCTCTAAGTTCTTCAACTGACCTATACTATCTGGTAAACAATACAACCTGTTGTTGTCTAGTTTCAAAGAGGTCAGATTACTTAGCTGCCCGATGCTGTCGGGCAACTGTGTCAAACTGTTGATAGATAAACTTAGATCTAGTAACTGTGCACAATTACCAATTTCTGGTGCAAGTTCTTCAATCATATTATTGCTAGCTTCTAGGTGAATCAAATTTTCTAATGGCTTAATTATGGATGGTATTGTTGTGAAACTGTTACTATCAATCCACAGCTCTTTTAATTTGAGAAATCTTCCAATAACCTCAGGGAATTGCTGAAACTCATTTTGTCCTATATCCAATCGCAAGAGTTCAGTGGAACGTGACAAAGATTTGGGTAAAATCATAAGATAATTGTCTCTCAACTCCAATATATTAAGGTTTGCTAACCTTCCAAAATTTCCAGGAAGATATTCGAGATATGTATCATTGAGGTACAGTTCTTTTAGCGCTATGAGATTTGTTATGGCATCAGGAAGTTTTTCCAGTGGGTTGACACTTAGGTCGAGAAACATAAGATATTTTAATGCTTTCATGTTATCAGGTATCGACGCCAAGGTATTTCTACTGATGTTTAAATGCTGTAAGTTCACCAAAGAAGATATTGCTGTAGGAATAGCTTGTAACTCGTTATCACTAAGGTCTAAATACTTCAAACCATGGCACATAAAAAGCTGGCGCGGTAACTCTGTGATACGATTACTTTGGCAGAGCAGAGTTTCCAATGTCCTCTCATACACAAACACGTCGGTGGGAACATCTGTTAAGGATTGATGAGAGTAATCCAACTCCACGACATCTTCAACTCCGGGCCTCACACAACATAAAAAGTTAAATGGCATTTTTAATAACACTTCCACTTGTACACGAAACTATATTCTTTAAAAAAAAACTACTCATGCCCGTTTTGTAAATTGCGAATAAGAAACTTTATTGAAAACATTTTATAATATAAATTTTCACTTAACATTTAGAAAACCGAAAAAGAAATAGACATATGTTTTAGCAAATATTATTTGCTATGAAATGATTCACATAAAATCAACCAAACTGATTCACGTCTTCCCTTTCCCCTTCGGCCCCTCGGACCACAGATCATAGTCAAAGAATATTTAATCAAAGAAGTTTTGTTATCTTGTGTAATATTACTTTACTTAAAATCCAGTTTCGATCTAAAGCGATAAATCCAACGGCCTACCACTGATCTTCTTCCATGCAAACACGGCTTTTTTACATGGGGTTTCACAAAAAAAAATAATTTCATTGGCAGCACTGGTCCAGGTGGGCCGCTTCGCATTGGCGATGGCGATTGTCAATCTGTCAATTTTAATTTTAAAATAATTGTCAAAATAAAGTTCAAAAAACTGTCTTTCTTAGATATTTTTCCTTAACTGTATTACATTGTTACATAAAAGTGCGAAACAATAATATGGTTTGTAAGAATTTCTATAAAGGAAAATACTATGTAACATATAAGCGTGGTTTTGAAGACTGTAAAAAAGATGTTATTATTACTATTGACAAGTTGTTTGAAAACGATAGTTTGGTATGTTTTATTTGAATTTGTTTAATTTCCAAATCATTTAAAATTATGAAAATAACAGGTATACCTTTTTCTTTGTTTTAGATTTTGACTTTATCAGATGACGAAGATCCCTGTTTTTTATTTAAAATTTGTATAACCAGATGTGATTATGAAGACTTGAAAAAACAGCAAGGTCTTCTGATAGACTTTGACAATTTTCCGTCTCAAATCGTCAGGCTACTGCAACAATGTGCTTCCAATAACATGTTAGTGTATAAAGATATATATATATATAAATATATATATATATTTCAAATTGTAACACATACTCTTCATACATATTCTGTTTTGCATTTATATTTTCTAGGTTTTTAATTATTCATCAATTAAATCCCATCAAATACAACTTTGAGATTGTTGAACACAATGAATTCAAAAGATTGGTTCATTTATCTTTAAGTACTGGGCCAGCAACTGATTCTGACATAAAACAACATATGGCTGAAACTATATCCAATTTAAAGGTATAAAATATATAATGTTAAATCCGTATTTACTAATAATGAATATGACTTAATTTGAATAAACAAAATTAATTTGTAGGGTGTAAATAATAATATAATAATAATTTTAAAATAATTTTTATTCATTAGAAAAATTTAGCTGCTGTTAAAAGTTCATCAACCAGTACTGAAGCAATATTGAATGACAAAATACTTAAAATGGAAGGAAAAATTCATGACTTAACACATACAGTGTCGAAAATGGAAGAAGATAAGTTAAGACGAGAGACGGAGTTTTATGAATCTCTGAAACAAGAAAAAGATAGATTGGCTCAGGTAAATATAATAATAGTTGTAATATTTAATTTTAGAAATCATAATAAAATTAATGTTTGTATGTTTCTTCTCAACATATACCTAAAGGATTGAACAGTTTTTAATGAAATATTAAAACAACGTTTCAAGGACACATTTGATGGTTTTTACCCTGAAAATATAGACACTAACAAAAAAAAAATAGTTAGTTCCTCATGTCAACACATGCTGGCCTAGCTATTTATAAATTTAAATAAAATACTTTTCCTTCCAGGAGAAGATTCAATGGCAAAAAACATCTGAACTCAATACAAAAACACTTTTGGCGAATTCTCAAGAAAATTTAAGCAAGAAAGATAAGCAAATTGATGATTTAAATGTACTTTGTAAACAACTTCGTGATACTATAAATCAGTTAGAAAACCAATTGAGGTACAAAAAAAATTTTTTTTTATATTAACACACAGTGGTAATGTTATTAACCAGTTGCAATTGTGATATTAAGTGATAGAAAGATTTTTAATAATGTCTAAATTGCTCCTTGGTTTTTTTTCATAATGTCTAAACTGCTCCTTGGTTTTTTTCTGTTTTAGTGATAGAAATCAGAGAATCAATTATATAGAAAATGAAGTGCAAAAAACTCATATAGAAGTTGCAACTCTAAGAGCGAAAAATATTACTTTTGAACGTGAAATAAATGAAAAAGATAAACAAATCAATCAGTTGCAAACACGATGTACATATTTGGAAAAGGTATGATAGTATATAGACATATTTTAATTTTTATTACACTGTCTGCCACTGTTATATCCACAAGGGGTTTTTTTTAAGCTGCTTGTCTCTTTTTTATATAAATTGGTATGTTAAACAGCATTTTGTATTTATTATTTATGTAATTTATATTTTTATATTTTTAGGTCAACAAAGACTATAGTGACAATATAAAGGAGTTAAATGACGTCATTGTAATGACAAAAAAGGAAAAGGTAAATAATATAAAACATTACATAAATTATTTTATTATTTTCTGTCAAAAAAAGATAAATAAATTCAAGCAAGGGTACAACCGGGCATTGTGGCAATTGATGGGGGAGGCCTACGTCCAGCAGTGGACAAGTTTAGGCAGAATGTGATGATGATGATGATTAAGGGTACAACAAGAATTACATTATACATAATGTTTGTTAGAAACAAATATATAGGCAATAATTTTTTTAATTAATACAACATTTCATATAGGAAAGTTTAGAAAAGAGATTATCATTAAGTGAATCTCTGGCAAATAAGAACAATGATGCTGCCCATTCAACAGCAGAGCAACTTTTAAAAGCAAATCAAATTATATCAAAACAAAATAATGAACTAATTGAAATAAAAGAAAAGGTAATGACAAAAAAAGTATTATTATTCAATGTATTTTATTTCACAATACAGACACTAAACTGCAAGTTATTTATTCTATTACAGATCTTATGTAGAACAGCGATAGCATTAGAACAAGAAAAGGTAATAGAGAGTTACACAAAAGAAATACAAGAATTAAAGTCTGAAATTGAATGCACAAAAGATGGTATGAATGCATTAAAAAATGAATTAGAAAATCTTAAAGAGAAATGTGAAAGCACTGCACAAGCACTGAAAGATAGAGAGGAAACTATTAAAAATAATAATATGGGTATGTAGATAATTTTCATATGCATTTTTACCACACAATTGACAGTTCTTGAGAGAATTGATTAAATTAATCAAAGCACTTATGTATTTTTTCCCACTACTACTTTTTTTTGCATGAAAATAAACTCGCCAGGCATGTCAGTGACACTGAATGTATTTTAACTGGGTTACCCAATTTTGTTTTTGATTGTAGTAAGTATATGTTTGTTTGTTTATAGTTATACAGTGGTTGCATAAGAAAATGGAAGATCAACAACCAAACTCTGACAGGCAAAACTTTGGAGTTCAGTCAAGTAGTTCAACTCCATATTTTGTACAAAGACACAGTCAAGGAAATAATACATTACAAGAGTCAGATCAGACAATCAATTTTTATGCGACATCAAGAACGTAAGTTGGGTCTTGTAAGATAGACAGGTATAGCTAATGCTACTTGCATATTCTTCAGTTTGAACGTGAATGTGCACTAGAAAAATCTTTGGTGTTAGTGGAGTAATTGTTTGAAAGTTAAAAAGTTATTGTTGTTTAACAAAGTTATTTTTAAACTATTTTCAGGTCTAGTCTAGACGACAGTCCTCGAGTTGAAAGTCCACAAGAAAGATCTAGAAAACCAGGATTAGATCCCAAATATCTGCAACCTGCGACAAAAGATCAACAAATTGAAAAATCTAAAAGTAAATATAATTTTTATTATATTTCATTAACCTATTGCATGAAATGTCAAATATACATTTTTTTGCTCAGGTACAGGAAGATCTGATGCAACCTCTTCGAGAAGTCAAAAAGGGAAGGAGAATAAAAACGTAGAACTGCCAAAAGTAGTTTATAAAGAAAAATCTTCGAGGGCAACATACAGGGCAACACCAGTTTCCGCATATTTCCCATAAAGTGTTTTGTAAAAAATATAAATATTTAAAGTTTTTGTATTATTGTAAATAAATAGTATCTAATTATAAGTTCGCATTTATTTTACTCCTATATTATTCAGTTTGATAATTTATAAAAAAGGATAACAGATCTACCTACTATTCATATATAAAAAAAATCTACCTAGGGTTAGGGCCCTTTGTCAAAAATGAACATTGATATTTTTAAATCAGGTTATAGTTAAAATTTACTTATAAATCTTTTGCTATAAATAATAAACAGGTCATTGCACGATACTATTAATTAAAATAATCGAAATTATATATTTTTTTTAAATAATTTTTTAGTCATGTTCTATTCTAATTTTCCAACACTTCAATAATCTTTGATCATCCTTCCCGCGAAATTTGACATTTCAATATTTTGATTTGATGGTTGTTTTTGGTTTAATTTTCAACTGACTTGTTATAACTTGTAAGTTTTCCAGTAGTATATCTAAATTATTAACTTATAAATTTTAAACACTGTTGGTTTTTTTAGCTTTTTAGGTAAAAAAGTGGTTGTAGTGTTGTTTTAATTAGCACTATTGATTTGATAATAAGAAAATATGTGGAACGGTAATTATAATTACTTCGTAGATTATTCCTTGTCTTAACGATATATTGTTAAATATATACTTGCAAAAGTATATGTACAAAATACTACTCTCGTGGTCAAATGAGTTTTACATTTGACCACCAGAGTAGTATTTTGTAACTCAAAAAGTGGGACTTAGATACGACACCACATTCGCACATGTCTCACATTTCATGAAGACGTCAGTTCAAAAACGATTGATTGATAGGAAAATGGTTTTGAGATTCTAAAGTAGCCCAGGAGTGTACCAATGAAATAGGCAAATAAGGACAGTAGCAGAAATGTTGAAGGAATGAAAAATGATTCATAACTGTGGAAAAGATCTCTATATTATCTCACCTATACTATCTACAACGTTAATGTTACTAAACCAAATCAAAATAACCTTTACTTCATGAAATTATCTTTACAGATCAATCTGTTGTGGGTGGTGGATTTTTTAATTCAACCAATCAATTTGGGAATGCGAATACACCAAACCAACCACAAAAAACAGTATGTACAATAAATTTATTATTTTACATACATATAAGGATGCACATGTATACATCCATCACTGGTATTCTGTATCTTTATGTTCTAAAAGTGTAATACAAATAATACTTAAAATTTATAGAGTAGAAGAACATCAAGAACTGCCCCGATAGTTATCAGGCAAGCACTTCATTCTGGTGATGGTGATATTACAATATGGGGGACAGAAATTATGATAGTGTCTATTGTTGCTCGAGTAAGAAACATCAGGATGCAGAGTACAAAAATAACATATACTATACAAGATATAACAGGAAGAATGCGAGCTGTATTTTGGCTGGACCAAGAAGCTATGGAGGAAGATGTAAGTTTGTATGAAAAAGTTTCGAGTCAGAATATTCTTATACTTTTAAACTTAAAATTCATAGTGGCATTGAACAAGTTATAAATCATGTAAGATAAAGTTGTCTATATGTGTGCTTAGTGATTGTCTTTTACAGGATAAATCAACTCCAAAAGTGCAAGTAAATGATTATGTTCAAATATATGGAAATGTTAAAACAAATAAAGGAAAGAAAGTTTTGATGGCATTTAAAATAATACCTATAACAGATGTCAATGCTATCACATTTCATTATTTACAGTGCATTAATAATAGACTAAAGATGGAAGCAGATTCAAAGAAGGTATAGTTTATCTTTTAACTTTTTATATGCAATTGCTTAAAACTCTTGGTTTATTTAGACCATTTGTTAATTATTGCAATTAAAAATACTAACTATATTATGCTATAGTTAGACACTGTTTGGTTAAACACATGTTTTCAATCTTTAATTGCGGTTGATTGATATTATGGACATCAACATGGTTATATGTTTGACCAAAGATGTGCATCATGACACTGCTTTCGATAGACTGCAAGATCATTATTTACAAGTGTATGCTTAATAATGTTTCAATAGCTATAATCTACACCAGGCACTAGATGGGTTGAAATTTGTTAAAGATAATTCTTTAAGTTAATATATTTGAAACACTTAGTTTTTTTTTATGACAAGACTCTAAATGTCTTCATTGCTATTTACAGACTAAGGTAAATGGTAACACTACATCATCTGCAGCAATGCCTGCCAATTCCATGGTTGGTATGGCTGACAGCACTTCAGTAAATGGCTTGAATCCAAGACAAATGATGGTGTTCAATTTGATCCGAGCCTCAACTCTAGAGCAGGGCATTAGCAAGCAAGATATGTATGTCACAGTGAAAGATCGCATGTCACAAATGGAGTTTGAGTAAGATTTTTTTTTGTTTTTTATTTATATTATAAGATGGCAAACATGCCAGCGGCCAACTAAATTTGCCGGAATAAGGAAGCAACCTCTGCCTAGTTTTGCAATTGAAAATGCTTTCCCTTCCTTTAATCGATGGAGAAAAGGCACTTAATATTTCGTCTTCCTATGTGTCTCCCACTCTTCTGTCAAATCCGGTTTTTCTTCCCATCCTTACAGGTTACCTTATCTTGTTAACCCTTTATTTAAAAATTTGTCATTTGTAAGTTTATGTGTGCAAGCAATTCAATAAATAACTTTTCTATAATTACAGGAATATTCTGGAATGGATGTGTGGTGAGGGCCACATTTATTCCACAATTGATGAAGAACATTTCCGTGCCACTGATGCCTTTTAATAATATCCCTACACATTATGATTAAAGATAACAAAGTTTATTTCAAATAAAAAGTCATGTTTTGCAAAATTCTCCTTTATTTCTCTTTTATACAGATATGGTATCAAAATAGGTATAAGTAAAATATTCTGATTTATCAGGAATTATGTAGTTAATACAAAAAATTATATTTATTTGATGACTATTAAACACTTACAACAGAACTTTTTATATAAACCTGAAATATATTTATTTTAAAGTTATTTAAATGACTATAAATTAACAGATCTTCGAAAGTAGAAATTAGAAACTTATAAGAACACATATACAAACATATCGTTCAAAACCCATCTCCATTAGCTAATTACAAACTCCTTAAAATAAAAGAAAAGTACTGATTAAATGCAATGTAAGCAGTATGCTGATAAATAACTATAAGTTTACAATTTTTATAAAGGTTATCAGAAAGACGCCTTTCAGTTATGATTATACAATGTTTATCTATATGAATACAGGTATAATAAACCAGTTTCAATACTTATATATGCAAATTACAAAAATTGTATGTGTAAGAGAAGACCATGTAATAAAAACCCTAATTTTCACTAAGAAAATTATAATTCATCTCTTACAGCTGTATTTTTCACATCAGGATTTTTCCCAGGATATGTCTGACTTTCTAATTGGACTTCCTTGAGCTCATCTTGTTCCAGCAGGTATTCTTTAGCAGTCCATGCCTGTGACCCATCTTTAAACATGAATATAGCTCGGTCATCATCAATAAGGTATCTGTAACAAAAAAGTATTACTTAAATATATAAAAATCATTCCTCAATTTAAACAATGGCACTGCTGTATATGCATCAATTTCATGTGTAAGTTCCAATAAAGGCAGCATTTCACAACATAAAATTTAAGTAAATACATTATATTTAGTGAAATTTCAAATCACCCTAACAATATATATTGTAGTTGTTGTAATAAACTTATGTTTCACCCTCATATAAAATGGGATGGACAAACTAACCTTTCAGCTTGTATATGATTGCTCCAAAGACTTGTTTGCCATATTTTTGTAAGTTCCTCAGTTCGCGCTTTTGAAGGTTTGTTAGCTACCGAAACAAACATCATTACGGTCTGCCCTTTCTTTGTTGCTTGGAGGACTGATTCAGGATTACTCATGTCCATTTTAGTAAGATCTATTGAAGGTGGTTTGCGGAGATGCTCAGGCAATTCGTCTTCTGGGAGTGGTTCTTCATCTTCTTCCCATTGATCAAAAAGACTGTAAGATATTAAAAGGTGTTAAATGAAATCACGTTAACATACCGCGATACTAGTTATCCTCTTACCGTTCCATATCTGCATCACTAAAATCTCGAATATCTTTTTTTGCCCATGATGGTTTTTCTTCGTCTTTAAATTTTTTCCCTAAGCTACCAGATAAGCTTATTAAAACAAGGCAAAAAAATAACTTAGACATTTTTGGATTTAATCTACGATTAAAAGTAAGGAAAAGCTTTATTGCCTTAAAAGTTAGTGATTTACAGTTCTAATTCTATTAAAGTAAACAATTCTATGTTATAAAAACCAATTTACTGAATGGATACTAGCACAACACCGCAATTTGACGTATGAAAGTTGTATAAAAGTCGAATGTCGGCTTTACAAATTCAATAACACAAAATAAGTGATTTTGTAAAAAAATTCTAGTCGATAAAATTAATTTTACAAACTAGAACTACTATCTCATAAAAATAAGACTTGATTACTACTTGAATTTTTCTAAAAAAATCTGTAAATGAAAATTTTACGTAGAAATGCCATTTCAAAATATTCTTTGACTTTACAAAATGTTCACGTCAGCTTGACAATTATTTGACAGTGACAAGAGAACTGAGTTGTGAGTTGTCACTTCGCCGTGAATTTTTGGAGTGAATATAACGTATTGCATGAATATGAGCTGAGCCCGCTCACAAAGTCGTGAAGAAGAAAACGTATTTAATGTAATTTTAGTTTTGTGATGTATATATTTTTAAATATTGACGTTGTGTGAGTTTTTATACACTTTTAGGGCATTCCTAAATTATTAGAGATTCAAAATATTTCGGACTTTAAAAACGTCAGTAGGAAACTTTAAAATTGTTGGGTTAAAGTGCCTGCATCATGGACCAGAGTGGTATAACCCCAAATACATCAAATCAGCAGTTGGTTAATGGCAGTGACAATGATTCTGCGACAGCGTTGCTGCAAGAAAAGCAAGCAAGAAGGAGAGAAAATCTAGGAGATGTCACATTCAGAGAATACATGACTGTCGGAATATTATGTTTCGTCAACCTCATCAACTACATGGACAGATTTACTATAGCAGGTTAGTGCTAGTCATAATTATTGTAGTTACATGTAAACCATGATTCTGTGTATCTTATGATATAATGTAAGTTACATATTTTATATAATATGCACATGAATATTTTATAAAAGTTATATTAAAATTATAATTTGATGGAAATTTTAAGTAGACTAAACATAAATATTCTTATTAGAATTGTTACCCTTTATTATTTTTTAATGATATAGTTAACCTATACTCTAGGTTCTGTCTGGATGTCTACCTTCTTTTAAAATTGATTTATTCTTAATCCACTTTAGGATACTTATTGATACCAAGCTGAATGCTAAGTGTAACTTCTATTACCTATCTTAATAACAACATAAGAGCTAATATGAAGGCAGTAGTCTGTTGACCCTTATGATAAATTTAAATTATACTGATAAAGCTGGTATTAGTAAATGATGCATAATAACCATGGATTTTTATGAACAAATCTATACAAGACATATTGTTATCTCAGTTATTTTAAGTTGAATGTGAGGAATGCCTATGTTTATGGAAGAGAAACAAACTTTAATAATACCTTCATAGTTATTAGTTAAAAAAACATTCTTAAATCTGTTACCTGAACTTTTCAAGATGGCTACTTTTAACATTTAAAATATGAACATTCAAAAGTAAACTTTATAAGCATATGGATAAAAATCATTATTAACATACACTATATTATGTAATCATCTTTAACTTTTTGTAAAAATTAAATGAAATAATTAACATTATCCATGCATATTGAAACTGTTGCATTATGTTTTAATGAAGGACAACAACATTGAATGTCATAAATTTCTTTTACCAAATATGTTTCAAGGCAAGGACAGAGTGCACATCAGTTCTACCATATAATTTTTTTAAATTCAATTCTGTGAAAGAAAAAAATTGTAATGATGTTTTCAGTTTCTAATCTAATCTATATAATATATTATATAATAAATCGAATAATATTTGAATGAGACCTATTTTTAATTCACTTATGACTTTCCAAAATGGTATATGCAATTCCATTAATATTTTTCTTCTTCTATAAGATCTTATTTTGAGGCAAAAAATATTGTATCCATGTGGTTTTAAGTATGAGTAGAAATATAAATTTTATTTTTAAACATATATTCATAAGCGTAAAACACTCGGAATTATTGCGCGATAAATAGTACGTTAAAGATTCGAATACAGACGAACTTGGTTAAGCGAGAAACTTCTGTAAGCGAGAGTATTTCTTCAGTCCAACGAACGACCTCCACGAGCGAGAAACTCTGGTCAGAAAGAAACCTCTGTAAGGATAAAAATATCGCTGTCCTTTGAACTCTCGCATCGAAGTTAAATAAGAAATCCCTGTGATATCATAATAAAAAGACTTTCTTAAAGCGCGTAAAAAGGGCTGATAACATTATTTTAACGTCAGTAACGCATCATAATTCGTGATTACGCAACAATCGCCTATGTCTACAAATCTCATAATCTTAAAGCAAAGTGTGTCGTCAAGTTTAGGTAATTTCCTGGCGACATACCAGGATTAAATCAGATTACGCGTGGTATCCTTTTATTGCGTCAGTGTTGCAAGCAATAATGTTGTATAAAAATGCATTTCGAAATCTCAGTTAACAAAGTGATGTCGTTGACTTACGTTAGGTTAACGCTGAGGACTGAAGGTCGCGCATTTTTAAACTTAATTTACATTGTGTATTACGAAAAACATTGACTGTATATACCTATAATACGTTTAATTTCTTTTACATTATAAAACTATTTCATACTAAAAAATAACTACTAATCATTGGTTTCTGATAACAAAATCTTTCTATAAAAATAGTGTCGTATGTTTTATCAAAAATAATGAGGGAGAAGAAGATATTTTTTAAACAGATATTTTAGTCTCAGAAGCCAACGACAAATGCGCTTTTCCAGACGACAATTTATCTCTGTTCTAAATTTTATTCAGTTACCATCAGCCGTTTCTGAGTTACGCTGTAACATCCAAATATTCATTCATCCAAACTTCGATTGTAAAATAGTACCTATTGCAAGAAGTAAGATATATTAGTAAGAATTAATAAAGTGAAATTAACGTAGACCTGCCTTTTTAAAAGAATGTAACAAAACTTATTATGTAAGTAAAGAACGTGGCACCACCTCATGCGTTTGTTCATAAACACATATGATATTCGTATAACACAATACGTAGTAATACGTCTGTTGACTTCACAAGGCTCTCACGCCACGCTGGTGTATAATAAAGAACGGAATGCTGAATAAAAAAGTAGTAAAGTTTAAACGTTTCAAATTGTCGCTTCGATGTAAGTGGGCGGTGAGACGTGTCCTTCCCATTGTCGTTTGTTCCGACCGCCTCGGAGCAGTAATTGAATCAAATAGTGTTGCACCAGGTGACCAATAAACACTACGCCTCTTCACCAATTAGTTTATTACTTTAATTAAGCTTTATTTCAGAATGAATGTATGTGAGATGTGTTAACGTAAGTTTATAACCGAAACGAAATGACGAAAGTTTTGATTGGAATTTTTGTGTTTAGATCAATTTAAGTTTATTGCGTTTTTCTCATTACGAAATTTGAAGTTTGAAGAACTGGGTAGCTATAAATATTAATAAAGATAGACATATATATAAAAGAAAGTCATGTTATAATAGTTACACTATTTATAACTCAAGAACGGCTTTACCGATATGGCTGAAAATTGGTGAGGAGGTAGCTTAGAGCCAGGAGACGGACTATTTATTCATTTTTTTATATATTTTTTTTCGTATTTATGCCTTGAAGAGTTGCTTTTTATTTCACTTACTAAGATTATAAATGCGAATGTTTAGATGGATGTGATATGGGTGGATGGATGGGTTGGGGACACTAATTAAGTTTTTTAATATATCCACGCGGACGGAGTCGCGGGCGACAGCTAGTTTAATATAACTATGATATTGATTTGTAAATTAACTCCCAGTCCGTGAATCCACACGTAGTCCCATAGAAATGTAAATTTCAGATGTATTTTTCGGTACTTGGGAATTTTATTTTGTAAAAGATCCTTACGATTTTAAACCAAGGTAAATGTAGTGTAATTAGTTGTATACAATACACATATTATACAATATTAATTCTATACAAATGGAGTGCAGTATAAAGTCTTTAAACTTTACATAACACATACAACCAGGGAACAATTGTATGGTATTAAAATTAATCGCTTTCATAACACAAAACCCTCTCGACACACAGCGGACATATTTGCACTCCTGTACTGTGATTATAAATTTATTTAAATGGGTATTGAATATGTATTATGTTAAATTAAATTTCATTTTATTTTTAAACAATATTAAACCAAGTTTTTCTAGTTGTTTCATTTTAGAACTATTAATACGTTACCGAGAGATATGTAGAGTAAATATTTGTAAAAATATTGAATAAAGAATTTAAATATGAAAGTAAGATACCCTAATCGGTAATAGTATTTACTGAGGTGAGTAGTACCGTATTTGAATACCGACTAATCTATGTTAAAAACGTTACTATCATACAATAAAGCCCACGGCAAAAATATAGCCGCATTAAATAAATCTCCAGTAATGAATGAACACCCAGGAAGGGTCGATGTCACGTAATCAGAGAGCTAATCTCTAGTGTCAACTCACGCGCGTGGGTTCGCTTCTTTCTCACAAATACAATGCGCTCGCGCCCCTCCGAATATGTAAATGCTTTGTGTTGAGGTGATCGCTTTGTGAATAAATTGAATTATATTTTCAATGGTTCCGATGAAACGAACTAAATATTAAACGTGCATTATTCTTTGCTTCGAAATAAAACAACCAAAAATAAGACCATTTATTAAATTAAAAAAAACACCCGATTGACTCTATGACACTCAGGAGTATGATACATATCAAATAATATAATCAAATCGTCGAATTTTTTGAATTGTTTATGCTACTAGAGGTCACTATGGAATTGACGTACAAAGCAACACCTTTAAAACCTTACCTTACTTAGGAATAGCACCATCCCATGGAATCAGTCGGGTAATAAAAAAAACAAAATATCAAATCGTGTTTTTATTTATGACATGGAATGAAGTGAAAGTACATTTACAGCCAGTTCATTTGCGTGCGAACTGCTGTGATAGCACTGGTGCAGAAACATTCATGAATAACGAAACGCATTTCATTTCAAGATCGAATTAACCTTTAAAAGAAATCAACACTTATAGTAATTTATTAAATTCAATATAAAAATAGAAAACTATAACACTATATGATAGCCTTGGATATTGTGAAAAATGTTACACAATAATTTTATTCTTATGGGACACAATGTTAGCAGCTAGATTTGATCTTTGACCATTACCATTACTTACCATTTGCACGCTAATTTGGATTACTCCTTGTATCATAAATAAAATAAATATTTTGTTATATTTTCTCTATTTTTACGTACGGCAGTAATGGATAGCTTGTTCATTTGCATTAAAATATCGGCACTTTTAAGATAGACCTTCGGAATTCTTTTACCGTTACATTTTTTGCCTGTCAAACAAGGCTGTTAACAATATGATAGTACATTTCATTCCCCTATGGAATCATACATACCATGTTGAATTTTTTCTTTAAATTTCCCTGAGGACCGATCAAATTATGGTTGGTTGTTTAGTGTCCTTAAATTGTGCTTATCTTGATTAAAATCTTGCACGTTCAAAGCAAACGCAGCTGCTCGAGAAGCGACATGCAAAACAAACTAATGAGATATGTTTAAATTAAGATAACAACCCCAGTTTGTTTTGCAGCTTTCGACAGTTTTTTAACCGAGTTCCAAAAGGAGGATATGAATTCGTCTGTATGTTTTAAGTAGTGGCAACACATCTGCATATTTAATAATGTGGTAGACATTCAAAGGATACCTTTACAGTTTTTTTAAGGAACTTTTTAGAATTGGGTGTGTATATATTCCGAGAATGTGTTTTTATCGCCCTTAGCA